TAGCGCATCATTCTGACGGCGAACAAGATTATTTTGATTGAGAACTTAGCATAAAATAATGTTGATTTTCAATTTTTAAAAATCGGTAGGAACAGCCTGGTAATTCGGTAGGCGGTAGAAAAGTGAGAAAATCGGTAGCCTACCGCCTAAATCGGTAGGGTTGGCAGGTATGCCTCACGCAAACAAAAAGGTGCATGATGAATACAGTCAAGCAAAGCAAACATGTCATAAAAATGGAAATCATAAAAATACCTCATGATTTCACTTTCTGGTATTCAACAGCAACAGGAAACTCTATTCTATAGCTAAACAACCGATCAGGAGGCCTAGGCCTATTGTTTATCTGATTATCAGCCGTGCTGATAAATTAGAACATTCCATTACAATTTGTAGAAAGGGGAACATTTAATAACCAAAAATGTATTCGAATTTGATCAGTAAATGCATATATTTGTTATAAAAACATGATGAAAACCTAATTAATTATGTAACCAAATTAACATAAGTCAAACTAAAAAAATTTGTATAACATATTTCCTGTACATCATGTACCAAATATAATACTGTACAATAATAAAATGTGCCAACAAACTCTGACCTTTTGTTTTACAGCTGGGTCGTTTTGGCGCGTGTTGAGACCTGTGTCATGTTGCATATTTGTATCCAAACCGCGCGAAAGTATTTCTGCTGTGTGTGGATCTTCAGAAAGGGACAATATTATTGCCTTAAAAGCTGTGAATTTTATCCTTTATAGGTACAAAATATAGTTTATTAAATTTAGATATTTTCATGTGTTTTCGTTTGCTGTGGATCTTCTCAAATAATAGGCATAAAATTTAGGGTACTTTTATAGCGGTCGCCCAGACTAGCCTAGGCCTACTAACTAGGGCCTAAGTAGTACCTAGGCCTACTCTAGTTACTAGTAGTATCCTAGGTAGGCTAGCTAGGCCGCCTAGGCTAGGCCTACCAGACCTTAGCTAGGCCTAGCCTAGAGAGAGAGAGAGGGTAGGTAGGCCTAGTCGAAGTAGTAGTAAGGTAAGAATGCCAGTCCTAAGCCAGTCCATCACGTATGTAAAATGCAGGAGAGCACTAAATTGCTTTGAATAGACGCCCTCCCCAAGGCAAGGGGATGATCCAGGTGTCCGAAGTGGGTGGGGGGGGGCGATCGAGAGACTACCCTAGGGTTATCCGGCATGCCCCTGGGAAATTTTGTTTTCTAAGGCCTAGACGCCCGGAAATAACTCCTGAGGCATTTTGGGCGATCAATAAGAGGGGAAGAGAAACTGGCCTGCTCCTTACCCCAAATCCTCCCCTCTCACCCCCCTCCCTAAAATAAACTATCGCTCCAGAGCCTCATTTGAAGTAAACGCCTCTCGAAGTAACGCCCGGAGGTCGCAGAATATCACTTTTTTTGGTGTATAAACACATCCATTTTTAAAGGTGTATTGTCCCTTGCTAATGTCATAAAATCATAAAAAATAATTTTGAAATAAGCTTGCTCATATTGCAATAGCATACAAATTATTAACTTGTGCATAAAAATTATTGAATTTAAAAAATGTGTACCTTGATTTTTAAACCAAAAAATTATAATAAAACACTTCTAATGACTGGAAGTGTTTCTATCTCTGTAAACATTTTTTATATACTGTACACTAATTCTGTGTTCATAACTTTTATGTTACTTCAAAATGGGCAAGTTAATTCAAAAAATATTTTTATGATTTTTTTTGGTATTTAGTGTGGGACAATACATCTTTAAGCTCCAAACTGTTACCAAAATGTTAAGTTTGCCTATTGGGACAATTTCAAAACGATTCAGTCCAAGCCGTCACGGTAAAAGTGGTCGTCCTAAATAATTGTTGCCCTTCCAAAAGACGGCTGGACGACTCGCTGGCTAAGCCTATTCACAGGCCTTACTTTACAGTCTGGGTCTGCGCAAAATACCAAGCCATGTGACCTGGCTAGACGAATACACTCATTGTAGTTGTTACACTGCAACTGAGCTAAGCTTATTCAAGTCGCTTATTGAAGTCCCATAACAAAATACAACTTCCACTTTAGTGAAAATGATTTGTTACATTTGATTTTAACTTTCAGCTTTACCAATTTTAAAAACCAATTGTGCTTGGAATTTGCATTGATGGATAGTATTGAATCATCATGATGGTAACAGTTACTCAAGTCAACGATGATGCGGAGGGGTCAGATACATTTCTGTCCCTTCTTACCAAATTGGAAGCCAAAGGATTGTTGCCAGAAGAAAAAATAGCAACCTACAAGATGTTGACGGAGTAAGTTAGCTAATAAGAATAATGCTTTAAAGTCAGACTGCGGTGGAAAAAAAAATTTTGATATGTTGTAGATCTGATTTTTCTAAGACAGATAAAAGTTGTTTGACGAAGAACTGGGGAACGGTGAATGAGATACAGATTTTTGAATATTTAAAAACTGGGGGAAAAGGTATAAAATTGGGCAGTTATGCCCCTTTTTCCCCCAGTTACTGTTGGCTTGTTCCATTATAGAGAGAATGATACCGCTATAATTTCAGAATAAAAACTTGTGAAATTACTTTATGCTATAAAAACACAAGTTTTCTTGAAGTTGTAATAATTGTTTTATTGGAATTTAACTTTAGAAAGGCATTCATCATCTGTGCATGCGTAAACTTTGTATCACATGATACAGTATTTCCCCACTTCTATTTTTGTTTATAAAACATGGTGTGTGATGGTGCATGGTTCGCACAGTGGGCTGTGAGTAGTAATGACTTAGGCCTAGAGTTACCGATATTTTTAGCTTAATACCGACTGTTATTAATCACCATAATAATAGAATGATTGTTTAAAATAGATAAATATACTCGATAAGTATTTTATTTTATTAGATTTGATTAAACTTAAACTAAACTGATGTTAAAAATTTAACATAGCGCGACCGTCTAGCAAGGTGGGCATTTCTCTAGAGCAAGAATACGTTGTTTTATTGCGGTAGCCAGAAGTTTACACGCATTTCCAGTTGTTTGTTGTTTAATAATCGGCTGAAAAAGATGAAATTTCTTTATGTGAACATTTGCAAATAATGTCAATGTTTCAAAATAATTAAAAACTTAACATTACGGGAATGGTTTGGAGCTTAAAAATAGGTGCGGCTTATACACAGTGACACAAATAATTGTGGTATTACACGTCCTAATTAGGGGAGGTGGCTTATACACAGGTGCACACAGTACTAATCTATCGTGAGTGCCTTGATTCTTAGCCAGGCTAGGCGTAGGCCTACACCAAGCTAGGCCTGGCCAAGCCATCGTTGTCAGTATTAACTATTAATTATCGATTCAATGTTGGAATATACTTTTAGTTTTTTGCGGCGGTCGGCGATCGTAAACAAAACAGTAAAATTTCAAGAAGTTCAATATCTGATGTTGTTGCTCAGTGCGTCGTCATCGGAGAGGAGGGTAATTCCGTGTCAAATCAACCATAGGTCCCAGGTCGACCGTCTCCGATTTTTATGAAACTTCTTAAAAATGATCCATTATGTGAAAAATCAACATACACAAAAGATTAGCCCTACTGGATATGTAGTTTCCCAGGGATGTAGCCAGTGAAAATTAAGGGTGGGTATTAAAATTTTAAGGGTGGGTGCTGAATCTTGTGAGTATTTTTTCACGTAGCGTCAACCGCATGAACAGTTATTAGATGGGGGGGGGAGGGGTGGTAATGATAATTATGACTTACTTTGTTTGGTTTAAATAAAGAGGTAAGTATACTGTGAGTCAGAGATGAGTGCAAATATTAGATTTTACTAAAATCACTGTTCTTTTATTGACTGAAAGTAACTTGTAGGTTGTAAGTTTTCTTTAATTTCTGTGTGTTAAGTTTATTTGTTATATTTTCATCTCGTATTTTTCATACGCAAATTTGATCCCTGAATAAGAAGGGTGATATATTATGCACCTGTCAAACCTAGGCCTAGCTTTTTTCAAGAAATCATCGCACCACACGCACTGGCTGCCGCTAGCCTAGACTCAGAAAACAACTAGGCCTAGCCTCCTAGAGTATTCTTACAACAAACACATTCGAATCGAAGGTGCAGGAAAAAAAGACATAAATAGAACGATCGATTTATTGTTGTATGTGTTATATTGCAAAAATTGTAAGTACATTAATGTAAAAAAAATCATTATTTGTTCAATTTCAAAACAAATTTTCGATTAACAAATCACAAACATTCAGCCTCTATCAACACACGCATGATGCTCCGATCGAGATTGACGGCGGTAGCTTGAGATTAGACTCCTTTCACCAGACGTTTTCGATTGTGAATTATTTATTTATGCAGTATTGAATAAAGAAGTTAATAATAAAAAAATAAATACAATGTTTTAAAAAGTGTTGTTGTTTATTTATTATAAAGAAACAATACTGATAATAATGTTCATATCTTTGGTTGGTCAAATATGAATTAGCAGTAGTTAATAAAGTGTTTACAGTATTGCATGTATTTGTTTATCTGCGTCTACGTGTTCTGGAGGTCTGACGCACTACATGGGAAAACCCAGAGAGTTAAAAATAGTCGTAGTTAGTTGTTAATCATCGTGTGGGAAGCAATGAGACAATGCGTTTTGTGTATAAATATGGTCCGAATACATCATGGTCCAATGTAACAAACAGTATAATGATGATATCAACAGAATTAAAATTTTATACTTAATTTATCGCGCTTTGAGGTATTTTTTCTTTGTTGAGATTGCTTGGCTTTCTTGGATGACATTTTGAAGACTAAATCATGAAATGAGGGAACCAGGGATTACAGTTGTCTATTTAAACAACCAAAACTAAAACAATTGACAATCATCCACTGACAACTCGGGAAAATAATCGACAAAAGGCACCGCGAGAAGATAACTGTTGTGCGGTACTACAAAGGCTAAAGCACTTTTCAAAGCCGAAAACGCTTTTGTTTAACCATAGCACCGCTAACACGCGAGTTGACACTTTGCGCTTGCTGCTGCCAGAGTAGTCACGTGATCTGTATGCGGTATAAAATCAAAACATTGAATGCGGGAATAGCGAAATTGTACAGTAATCATGAACAGATGCTCTCTGGTTAAGTAATATATTTGAGAATATATATATGAAAACTAATTCAAAAATGTGCCTGTAGTATATAACTGGCATTCATGTAACACTTTGTCGCTGTACATTAAAAAAATGTTTGCTGTAAGCTGTGATTTTATGCTTTATTCTTAGCCTTCCGACCAGTGATTGCCACTGGTCGCGTAGCGCACAGCGTACAGGAATCATTCACAATCCCCATAGGCTAGGCCTACTTCTCTTTAAAAAATGTCCAAGTTTTACCATCGCTATATTTTACTCCCTTTGATGTATATTATGGCTTAACCTCTCCGACATAAATGTTGGAACATTTGTCAGTGATTTGGTAAAAGAAATTTTACTTCTAAAAATACAGACACTGCAATTCTGATGTCGTTTACAACAGACATTCAGCGATTTACACTCGCTTCAGCCATCTTTACAGTGTATTAACTCGAGCGTTCAAAACAATAACAAACTCAATACCGCATACAGATCACGCAAAGTGTCAATTTCCAGCTGATCACACAGTTTACTGTTCAGTCAAGTAGAACGTGAGCGTCCAATCAGCGCTAAAGCCTGGCCGATGTTTTATTTGCTAGGCTGCTTGCATGAGGTTTGAGGCTAGAAATATGTGATGATATATCTCGCGAAAAAAGTAAGAATTCGGGATGGGCGGATATGTACGTTTGACGCTGGGCGGAAGGCATTAAATTTTGCTTTAGGCTGGGCGGTAGACTTTTAGGCAGGGCGGCCCCGCCCGGCTCCGTCCTGCACAATTACATCCCTGGTTTCCGAGATATTGACACCCCAAAAAGAGGGCGTGGCTCTTCAAGATGTGCAAATGCAATTTCCTCCAAATTTGGAAGCTTATAACTCGGGATTGGTTATAGCTATCAAGGTCAAACTTGGTATTCTAACTTATATTCCACCATATTACACAAATATGGCATCATATTAACTGTTATCCCTTCTTTTTTTAAGTTATCTGCACTCAAAATAGCGACTTTGTTTAACGACGCAATTTTTTTGTGATTTTCAATGTCACCCTGTGTCCATATGATTGAGTGTATACATCTTAAATTACAGATATATTATCTATGGGTAGTTGTCTCTAGCCACAAGCAAGCACAGGCTGATCAAATGAATTAGAATGGAATGGCATCCATTCAAAGTTGGGCCAGCCCTAAAAAAGTGAAAAAAGCCTATGTTTCCCATTAACGGTTCGTCATGTGAATAAAATAATAAATTTATACCAGTTAATAGGATACAGGGGTTTATTTATGAATTTGAGTAGCAGGAGAAATTTGAAAGTAACAGGAGAGTAAATTGAAATAGGCCGGTGGTTTAGGGGATAGATACTGTAAACCAGAAACTTTCGCGATTTGATAATTTCGGCCGTTTTCGCGACATTAAACTTTCGCGAATCTCAAAAAGCCTAAATTTTATTAATGAGAGGAATATCATACAATAGCTGAAAATATCATTCGTGAGTTTAGGCCTAGGTTAGATAGGCCTACAGCCACTGTGTAGGCTACAGTATCTAGGCCTAGGCAGGCTTAGGCGCCATAAAGCCTGCCAGGACTTGGCTTTCTATCCCAGGCACAGATAAGAAAGAGACAAGTTTACACACATACAGTACTCACTCATATGATATTCCTTAATTTTGTATGGTATTCAAGCATCCTACAAAATGAATAATGTTTATTAATGTTTTATTAACAAATTATTTTCCTGTAGGCCTAATATCGATTCAAACAAATTGATTGATGATGATTGAACATCGTGGTATATGGTACGGAAAATTAGTTTCCCATTTGAACTTCTTAGTATACACTGCACAGTGGTTGCACATGTGCAATCACATGCAGTGATGATCAGAACCTCCTTGATTAGTATATTTACTGAGTAGGTTAGAATAGGCCTAGAATTTTTCGAGCTCAATATCGGAATTTAAGGTCAGAATATTGATTCAATAATTGAAATACATTCTTTTTTAAGTTTATACACGTTTAATAAAATCCACCAAAATAAATTGAAAATACAATTTTTAGTTCCTTTGTGACCTTAAGGTCACAAGGAACTAATGGGATAATTCGAATATGAAATGTGTGTGTGTGTGTGAGCAAAGTGGCAGCGGGTTTGTAAACGAATAGGCTCCTAAACGGTGGCTCACGGTGGGTATAATGTTTTCCTCA